TAAGAAGTGAAATTACCTAATTTAGTGGCTGGATTTATTTTGTATTTTTCTAGTCCTATGTTTATTTTTTAAATCAATATGGTTTTGTACATTGATTATGTAGTCAGACTTGAAAGTTAGAGAACCTAACACCAAATCCTACCAGTTGGATGATATGAATTCATTTTGATTAATTGATGACTCTCATGGAAAGAAACTTGCTACCCTTACCCAATTTGGGCCCATACGTGACTCCAGTTTCTCATCAATGTATTTTGATTCTTAACAAACCCCTGAACCTCAATTTTCTTTCTCCTTGTCTCTCTCTGTCTGTCCCTGTCACATTCCCTCTGTCTGTCTAACCAGTGTAAAATTTGGACTTGGAGCAAAAAGTGAAAACATTGTATCATACATTGGAAATCAGCTATTAGTTATCACTTCCCATTATCATTGATTAATGCTGCAGTCTTACTCTGTTTTTAATTAAAATAAATTCAGGACTGCAGCATAAAGAATATTCCCTTGTGAAAAGGACCTAAAGAAGTATGCATGGAATTGGATTCAGTATGACCAGAACTTGCATGAGTCTAGAGAAATGCAAATCTTGTATACTCATGATTCCAAGATCATTCTGAAGTAGAAAAATAAGCCCTGTTTCTGTTCTCTACTTCAAACTGTCATTTTCCTTATTGCTCTTCACCTACATTTCACCTCCCCCTCTTAATTCTACTTACTGCTGTGTCTACCCCAAAAACAAGCTCCCAAATGACTTACAAAACCCACTCTTTGGCCTTTGTCCTCCATTCAGCTGCAATATTTCTGCAGCTTCTGATTTGCTGAACCATTCCTGCTTTTCTAGCTTTTGCTTGATCCTCATTAAAACCATTCTCTGATCTGGCTGCTGCCCTGATACTTCTCTCATCCTAAACTCCTTTAAGTCCAGGAAATACAGACAGGAATGGATGTTGGAAACAAGTAGTTTAGTCATTCCATGTCAGATTTAACTGGACCACATAAAGCACTCTTGTCTGCCAAAACTACTCACTGTTCCAGGATCATAACTAAATGCAAAGATAGCTGCTTCTGGCTTTTTTGTACTGTAAGCAATCTGCTTAAACCACTGTGATCTCCACCCTCCTTTCCAACAAATGTAAAGAGTCAAACACTGAGGTTGCCTGATCAGCCTTCTCTGATTCTTCCCTCCCTTCCACTTAGCCACATGCATCAGCAGTAGTTAGCACTGCTGCCTCACAGTGCCGGGGACCCGGGTTCAATTCCCCCCTCGGGCGAATGTTTGCGTAGAGTTTGCACATTCTTCCCACGTCTATGTGGGTTTCCTCCCAGATGTTCCGGTTTACTCCCATGGTCCAGAGATGTGCAGGTTAGGTGGATTGGCCATTCTAAATTGCCCATAGTGTCCAGGGATGTGCAGGCTAGGTGGATGAATCATGGGAAATGCAGGGTTTGTGGGGGAGGTGTGGTGGGTCTAGGTCAGATGCTGTTCAGAATTGGTGGGGCTTAATCGGATGAATGGCCGGCTTTCACACTGTAGGGATTCTGATTTGTGTGATTCCGTGAAGGTTCTTCCTGCCCACTTACCCTGAACCCACCTACATCTTTCTCCAGTTTCTCTATAACCCACCTCATGTCCCTTCTGAGCTCATCCTGTTTGTGAGACCTACCTCCTGCTTCATCAATCCTATTCTCACTGAACCAGCAACCTGCATATCCCTGAACCATTTCAAACCCTGTAACCTTCCATTAAATCAAACCTGCTCTAGTCTTTCAACTCCCCCTCCCACACCTTGGACGACATGTCCATCCTGGGCCTCCTCCAGTGCCACAACGATGCCATCCGAAGGTTGCAGGAACAGCACCTCATATTTCGCTTGGGAACCCTGCAGCCCAATGGAATCAATGTGGACTTCACAAGCTTCAAAATCTCCTCTCCCCCTACCGCATCCCAACACCAGCCCAGCTTGTCCCCGCCTCCCTAACCTGTCCTTCCTCCCACCTATCCACTCCTCCCACCTCAAACCCCACCCCCATCTCCTACCTACCAGCCTCATCCCGCCTCCTTGACCTGTCCATCCTCCCTGGACCGACCTATCCCCTCCCTAACTCCCCACCTACAGTCTCACCTTTACTGGCTCCATCCCCGCCTCTTTGACCTGTCTGTCTCCTCTCCAACTATCTTCTCCTTTTATCCATCTTCTATCCGCCTCCCCCTCTCTCCCTATTTATTTGAGAACCCCTTTCTCCTCCTCCATTTCTGAAGAAGGGTCTAGGCCCAAAACGTCAGCTTTCCTGCTCCTCTGATGCTGCCTCACCTGCTGTGTTCATCCAGCTCTACCTTGTTATCCCTGCTCTAATTAAAGTGTTTTATGCATCTCTGATTGTAATTACTCCAATAGTTCCTGTGCCTTCATTTGCTGAGAGCTCCTATGGTCTCAAATTTCTGCTCGCTCGCTCTCTCACTCTCTCTCTCTGCCCTCTCTGCCCTCTCTGCTCCTCGCCGCCCCATCACTTTTTTTTCTCTCACCCTGTCCCATTTTTATTTTTCTACCCCCCCGTCCCATCTCTTTATTCCCCCCCATCCCATCTCTCGTCTCGCGCTCGTGCTCTCTACCTCCTTTAAGAATGTCCTTTCTTAAAAAAACTTTGATCAGGTTTATGGTCATTTGCCCTGTTATTTCTGTTAAATGTTGGAGCAGAAGTAGACCAATTGGCCCATTGAGCCTGCTCTGCCATTCAGTGAGATCATTTCTGATGTGATAATCCTCAACTCCACTTTTTTGCCTTATCCCCATAACCCTTGATTCCTCACTGATTAAAAATCTCAGCTATGAATGTACTTGATGATACCGCATTGACAGGCTTCTGCGGTTATCAATTCCACAGATACACTACCCTCTGACAGGGGAAAAAAAACATCTTCATCTCTGTCTCTAATGGGCCACTCTGTTATTATTCCCTCTGGTCCTAGACTCTCCCACAAGGGGAAATAGCCTCTCTCTGCATCTCACCTGTCCAGGCCCCTAAGGATCTTACACATTTTAATAAGATCTCCTTGCGTCTTTGAAATGCCAAGGAATATCAAGCCAAACTACTCAACCTCTCTTCTTCAGAAAATCCCTCCATACCCAGGATCAGCTTAATGAACATTCTCTGGATTGCCTCCATTGCCAGATAAGGGATCCAAAACTGTTTACAATATTCCAGCTGTGGTCTTAATAATGCTTTATATAGATTTACCAAGATCTGTCTATTTTTACACTCCATTCCTTTTTAAAATGAGGGCCCACAGTCCATTTGCCTTCGCTATTACCTGCTGAACTTGTGCGTTAGCTTTTTGTGATTCACGTATGAGGACTCCCAGATCTCTGTGTTGCAGCTTTCTGCAATCTTTCCCCATTTAGAAAATATTCAGCTCCTCTTTTCCTGCCAAAGTGCTTAACCTCCCATTTTCTCACATTATATTCCATCTGTCCACTTCCCCATTTTCCCCACTCCACCTGCTTCTATCCCTTTTGTAAACTCTTTGTGTCATCCTCACTGTTTGACTTTGCAACTATTTTTGTATTATCCACAGACTTGGTGATGCATATTCACTTTCCTCATCCAATTCATTAATATATATTGTAAATAATTGTGGCCCCAGCACTGATCCCTGTGACACTGCACTAGTTACAGGTTGTCCTCCTGACAATGCCCCCTTTATCCCAACTGTTTTCTGTTAGTTAGCCAATCCTCAACTTATGCTAATATATTGTCCCCTATATCATGGGCTCCTGGTTAAGTTACCTCATATGCAGCACCTTATCAATAGATGAATGTTGGGTGAATACACTTTTTAATAGAGGAAAAAGTTAGGCAAGTTTGTTTAGTTGCAAATAAATAATACATTTGAAGAGGAGGCGATGGCCTAGTGCTATTATCGCTGGACTGTTAATCCAGAGACCCAGATCATGTTCTGGGGACCCGGGTTCGAATCCTGCCAGGGCAGATTGTGGAATTTGAGTTCAATAAATACCTGGAATTAAGAATTTAATGATGACCATGAATCCACTGTCGGGGATTGTCGGAAAAACCCACCTGGTTCACTAATGTCCTTTAGAAAAGGAAACTGCCATCCTTACCTGGTTTGGCCTCCATGTGCCTCCAGACCCACAGCATTGTAGTTGACTCTTAACTGCTCTCTGGCCAATTAGGGATGGACAATAAATGCTGTCTAGCGAGCAACGTCCTCATCCCGTGAATGAATTTAAAGTAATTTGGAACGGGTGATTGTGTCCAAAAGTATGACCAATTTTAAAAGAAGAGTTGGGTAAAGGTATTAAGTAGAGGAAATGCAGGTCTGCATGATTTATTTTATTTCAAATTGCTGATTCTCCAGCAAAACTATGACAACCTGAAAACTTCACTGGGATTGATGTTGGATGAATTGACTTCACTTAAAAGTCTCGCCTAGTTTACCATGCACATTCAAGATCGATTATACCTAGACACCCCAATACTAAGCATCAACTGAACCTCTGTGACTTCTATTTAATTAATTCTATGCTGCTTTAATTTTAGATTATTAACAACAATATGAACCTATACAGGGTGTTGAACAGAGTATAACAGCCTATATCAAGTATCTGTGTCAAAATTTACATGAGACGTTAAAACAGATGAACAGAGGTATAGTCAAAGAGGTTTTAGGGAGCACATTAAAGGAGATAAGAAAGGTGAAGGGCGATCGGGTGGTTTAGGAAGGGAATTTGGGCTTTTGGCAACTGAAAGCCTGGGATGGCAGTGATGGGGGAAGGAAATTTGGGACTGACTGACAGTGTAAAGGATGGGGCTGGAAAAGGTGTAGAGGTGGGAAGTGGCCAAGTCATTGAGGAATTTAAGAGTACAGGTGGATGAGGACTACAGTTCAGAAGCTCACAGCCCTGGTAATTTAAAACAAGTGAGATGCTGCTGTTCTCAGTGATTTTATATGAAACTGTTAACCTAAACCTCTTGCATTGCAGGTGGTGATGTTGCTTTTGGATGTTGAAGTCATGTGAGAAGAGAGAGGGAGGGAAAAGACCAGATTACCTGCCACCACCTGCTCATTGTGGTTCATAAATATCTTTATGAAGGTGGAAGGCATATTGGCGACTGCCAGTTCAGGATGCTGATGGCCACTGTCGAAGATTACCAGTTTAACAGGCATTTGCTGTGGTTGGTTGAGAACTTTCATCATCATGGCAGTGGTACTTCCAGTGGGTACAGTGAGCTGAAGGCAAATGCTGAATGATTCTGTTTGTTCAGCAACCTCAAGAGGAGAGAGAGACAGAAACACTCTTTGTGGAAGGAAAGAGCGAGAAAATGAAATTTCCATTCTATTGGTGTTGAGTTGTAAATAGCTTATGGAAAACATATAAAGCAAAATACACAGTGAGCCTTGGGGCAGTGAATGAGATTAAATTTCCTCGTCATGGCTTCTGATCAAACGTGATTGATTGTGAGAGGGTTTTTCCCCCTCTCCCACTTCTTTTTTAGTTAAAAAAAACTTGTTTCCCCCAACTCTAGCCAGTTTATATCATGCTCCGGAACGGAGTTGTTGGGAATGTAGGGCAGCCGTGCATGCTACGATGGTCCAATCGCATCCGGTTGACCTGGCTCAGTTTCACCCTCTTCATCATACTGGTGTTCTTCCCGCTGATTGCCCATTACTACCTGACCACCATCGACAACCTCGATGACTCCGGCCCTCGCATTTTTGAGCCACGCTCAGGCAATGCCCTGTGTGAGGTCAAGCACGTGCAAGATCTGTGTCGCATTCGGGAATCAGTCAGCGAGGAACTGCTGCAGCTTGAGGCGAAGCGGCAGGAGCTCAACAGCGAAATTGCCAAACTCAACCTGAAGATTGAGTCCTGCAAGAAGAGCATTGAGAATGCCAAGCAGGACCTGCTGCAGCTCAAAAATGTCATCAGCCAAACTGAGCACTCGTACAAGGAACTGGTGGCACAGAACCAGCCAAAGCTCTCGCTGCCAATCCGCTTGTTGCCAGAGAAAGACGAGACTAACTTCCCATTGCCAAAGTCCCCCAACAGTTGCCGCTTGCACTCTTGCTTTGATTACTCCCGGTGTCCGCTTACATCAGGATTTCCTGTTTACATCTACCCACTGGATCAGTACCAATTCAGTGCTTTAATTGATCCATTAATCAAACAGGCATTTCTGGCAACTGCTCGAACTAACACCTACATTACAAACAATCCTCATGTTGCTTGTGTCTATGTGGTCTTGATTGGGGAGCTGCAGGGCCCTACAGTACTGAAATCTACTGACCTTGAAAAGCAGTTGCACTCCCTCCCTTATTGGCGGTCAGATGGGCACAATCATCTTCTCATCAACCTGTCTAGGAGATCCCAGACACAGAACATGCTCTACAATGTCAGCACAGGCAGGGCTATGGTTGCCCAGTCTACATTCTATGATATGCAGTATCGTCCTGGCTTTGATCTTATCCCCTCGCCACTCATCCATGCCATGTCCGAACCTAACTTCTTGGAGATACCTCCCCAGGTTCCAGTCAAAAGAAAGTATCTCTTCAGTTTTCAGGGCGAAAAGATCGAGTCACTCATGTCCAGCTTGCAGGAAGCCCGTTCCTTTGAGGAGGAGATTGAGGGAAATGCTCCAGCCGATTACGATGATAGGATCATTGCTACCTTGAAGGCTGTCCAGGACAGTAAGTTAGACTTGGTTCTTGTAGAGTTCACCTGCAAAAACCAACCTCAGCCTGCCTTGCCTACGGAGTGGGCACTTTGTGGAGAGAGGGATGACAGGTTAGAATTGCTGAAACTTTCCACTTTTGTATTAATTATAACACCAGGCAATAGCCATCTCATTGCTTCCACTGGCTGTTCCATGAGGCTTTTTGAAGCCTTGGAAGTTGGAGCCATCCCAGTAATCCTTGGGGAACATGTGCAGTTGCCGTATCATGACACGATACATTGGAGTGAGGCAGCTCTAGTGGTGCCAAAGCCTCGCATAACGGAAGTTCACTTCCTCCTGAGGAGCATCTCTGACAGCGACCTCCTGAACATGAGACATCAAGGTCGTTTCCTATGGGAGACTTACTTTTCCTCCTCGGATAACGTGCTGAGCGCCATCCTGTCCACCATGCGAACCAGAATACAAATTCCTGCTGCTCCCATCCCAGAAGAGCCCTCCAAGGAGATCCCTCACAAGACAGGAAAGACTGCGGGCACTGATCCCAACATGGCGGACACTGGAGACCTAGACCTGGGACCCGTTGAGACTGAGCCACCATATGCCTCACCAAAATACCTGCGGAACTTCACAGTGACCATTCGAGACACTTACAGAGCCTGGAACACTGCCCCGGGACCATTCCATCTTTTTCCACATACCCCAGTGGACCCCACGTTACCCTCTGAAGCCAAGTTCCTTGGGTCCGGGACCGGATTTCGGCCTATAGGTGCAGGAGCTGGAGGCTCTGGGAAAGAGTTCCAAGCTGCACTGGGCGGCAATGTTCCTCGGGAACAGTTTACAGTTGTAATGTTAACCTACGAGCGCGAAGAAGTCCTGATGAACTCTTTGGAGAGACTGAATGGCCTCCCTTACTTGAATAAAGTTGTTGTAGTGTGGAATTCTCCCAAGCCACCATCTGAGGACCTTATATGGCCTGACATTGGAGTGCCCATTGTGGTAAGGGTGTTTTCTTTACTCTAGTTTACAGCGGTGTTTCAGTTTAATACTTTTCTATGTAGAATGTTAAAATATGACAAAGGACCAAGCCTCCCAGGTCCAAGAAGAATCCTTTTGCATTTGTGGAGGTAAATATCTACTGACATCCAAGGTTCCTTGAAGATTTCTTGAATGTTTTTTGTTACTTTTATGCCTCCGCTGAATTTGTGATCTACAGCATGAATTAGTACAGAGTTTCAACAATTGACCACGTTCCAGGATTGATTTAATCGTACTTGACTGCACGTTTTCCCATTGGTGGCCCTCCAGTTAAATCATCAGCTGTCTTTGCCTGAGACAGATTTTGGTAGCCCAGCAGTATGAAAGCTGCAGTGTTTTGGTAAGAGCAGGTCTGAACTTTGTGCATTTCTTGGGATACTAGGAGTACCTTAGAGAGGCAAGGTGCACCTTTTTGATAAATTAGCTGGAGTCCAAAAACGGGGAATTTCAAGACAATAACAGAAGTGTTCATTCTAATAGTCCAAGAATATGTAGAGTGAGACCTTATTGTATGTCAATCTGTTGGTTAATTAAACGTGCTGGCTTAGATCCTTATGTTTAAATTGTTTGATCTGGTGAGTTGTTCTGATGCTAATCATTCAATTGGGTCTGATTCCTAGGTCTAAATATGCCATTGAAATTATTATTTACCCTTTAGGTTGTTCGTACAGAAAAGAATAGTTTAAATAATCGTTTCTTACCCTGGGATACTATTGAAACGGAGGCAATTCTTTCAATTGATGATGATGCCCACCTTCGCCATGATGAAATTATGTTTGGCTTTCGGTGAGTATGTGACAGTTTATAATCTGCTGGAGCAGAGCATACAGAGCAGAGCAAATAGAAAGCTGAATAGGTTTGTTCATGGTCTGTTCTAAACAGGTGGCTTGCATTGGCTTTCTCTACTTCCACGTTGGCTCTGAGATTTTTTTATGCTTTCACCACAGGGTTTGGCGGGAGGCCAGAGATCGGATTGTGGGTTTTCCTGGCAGGTACCATGCTTGGGATATGACCCACCAGTCCTGGCTCTACAACTCCAATTATTCCTGTGAACTATCCATGGTGCTGACTGGCGCTGCCTTCTTTCACAAGGTTTGTGCATGTCATATTGAGATCGTTAATTGTATTTTAATTGTTTATGATTGTGTGCAAGTGGTGGCTAGGAACTGAGGATTCACTTATGATCCTTTAAAAAGGAACAGACTGAAAATGTGATTGTTAACTGAAGTGCTGAGTGTTTTGTAATTAGTAACTCTGTAAATCTATTCCAAATACGCAGTCTCAAATCAGGCATCTCTGGGAATGGAGCCATGTCAGATTTTGGACTTTACTTGATTTTGAAATACCTGTTACCTAACATTTGCAAACACCCAGTAGATTCCTGATCTGTGTTTCAATTGCACATGTTCTGTGAAAAGGCCAATCCATTACTCCATGAATGAGCTGAATCATGAAAAGAGCAGTCCAGGATAGTTGCTGAATGTAAACAATGGATATAAATGGACAAGGCAAATTATGTAAATGCTGTAAATTTTGAGCAGTACCCAAAGAGGAAAAACATGCAGTTTTTGAACCGTTCTGATTTCTAAACAGCCACATTTTGAAGTACTGCTCCTGTAATTGGCATGTGGAAAGATAAAGCAATGATGTGGTTCCAGTGGTTAGTTATAGGAGGAAATTCGGGGAGGGAAGACTGTAGAGGTTTAATGTGTATCCATTTTATTCCCTGATCCTCATGAAAATGACTTGTGGAAGATTGATTCACAGCCACTGCTAGTCTTCCACAGGAATAAAAACAGAAATTACTGGAAAAATTCAACAGGTATAGAGAGAAAGCAGAGTTAACATTTTGGGTCCAGTGACCCTTCTTCAGAACTGATGGTAACTAGGAAAAGGTTGATTATATATGCTGAAGGCAGAGTGGTGAGAAAGGGAGGGGTAAACAAGAGGTTGAGATAGAGCAGAGAGAGAGAAAACAGCAATTACACAATGTTCAGTGTCATTTGCAACAGCTGATGATACCTTCCATCACTTTATTGATGATTAATAGATTAATGGGACAGTAATTGGCCAGGTTGGATTTATCCTTTTTTTTTTGTGTAAAGAATGTACCTGGGCAGTTTTCCACATTGACAAGTTGATGCCAATGCTGTAACTACTGAAGCAACTTGGCTACGAGAGTACAAGTCTTCAGTACCTTGCCAGAATGTTGTCAGGGCCCACAGTCTGTAGTGCCTCCAATCTTTTCTTGATATCACATGGGGTGAATCAAATTGGCTGAAGACTGTGTGTCTGTGGTGCAGGGGTCTACCTGGGGAGGCTGAGATGGATTATACACTTGGTGCTTTTGGCTGAAGATTGCTGCAAATGCTTCAGCCTTTTGCACTGATGTGTAGGTCTCTTCCATCAATGAGGAACGGGATATTTGTGAAAGCTCCTCCTCAAGTGAGTTGTTTAATTATCCACCACCATTCATGACTGGATGTGGCAGGACTGCAGAGTTTAGATCTGATCTGTTGTTTGTGGAGTTGCATAGCTTTGTCTATCACTTGCTGCTCATGCTACTTGGCATGCAAGCAGTCCTGTTTGGTAGCTTTGTCAGGTTGATACCTCACATTTAGGTATGCCTGGTGCTGCTCCTGGCATGCCCTCCTGCATTCTCCATTAAACCAGGGTTGATCCCCTGGCTCAATCCCTCTGGCTTGATAGTGATGGTTGAGTAGGAGATATGCCAGGCCATGAGATTGCAGATTGTATTCGAGGGTAATTCTGCTGCGTTGGTGGACAAAACACCTCATGGTTACCCAGTCTTGAGTTGTTAGATTTGTTTGAAGTCTGTCCAATTTAGCATAGTGATACTGCCACATATGAGGGAGGATATTCTCAGTGTGAAGGCAGGACCTCATCTTGACAGGGACTGTGCGGTGGTTACTCTTACCGATACGGTCATGGACAGTTACATCTGCAGCCCTACAGATTGCTAAGAATGAGGTCAAAAATGTTTCTCCCTCTTGTTGGTTCCCTCACAACCTGCCATAGACCTTTGTGCAACCTCCCTGAAGGTTTTGTTCTTGTCTTTCAGTACTATGCGTACCTCTACTCCTATATCATGCCGCAGGCCATTCGCGACATGGTGGATGAGTACATTAATTGTGAAGATATTGCCATGAACTTCCTTGTCTCCCACATCACCAGGAAACCACCTATAAAGGTTAGTGCAACCAAGATTGATATAACTCTTTGTTTGACTCAACAAGACTGTCATTGACATGTGACATAAATAAAGTACTTCAATACTGTATGTTATAATTGAACAATATTTTAATTTCTTTCATGACGGAGGAATGACCAGAGCAAGGAACTTTAGTAAAGCATTGAATATGGGAGGTGGTGTATGTCTGTGTGTATAAAGGGAATGTTGTTAGGTGCTTTATAATGGGAATTCTGAACTGACTGAAGGAGGATTGATTCACAGTTATGACGATATGTGTATATTTTCTATTAATGAAGCTGTAAATTTCACTGCAAAGGACATAATCCAGGCTGACATTCTATAATGCCAGTACAGAGTGAAACCTGTGCTGTTGGCATGGATGACTTTTGAATAAAATGTTAAAATGATCTCACCCCTCTCTGGTGGATGTAAAGGATCCCAGGGACTATTCAAAGAAGTGTAGTGGAAGTGCTGCTTGGCATTTTGGGACCAATATTTATCCTTCAACCAATTTCACAGAAGTATAATCGGTCCATTACTAGATTGCTGCTGCATGCAAATTGTTACATTTCTTACGTGAAAAAGTGCTGTGCTTCAAAAGCATTTCATTGACTAAAAAAGTACTGTGGTTTACACATCGATGTTATTTCTGTCCCTTACTCAGCTTGTGCTGTTGTTGTATTATTTGTTTTGTATTATTGCTTTTATAACTAGCCTCCCATCTTGTATTCTCCATAAACTAGAATTCGTCCAAACTTTGTCTATATCCTAACACTGACTGAGCCTTGTTCACCCATCACCGGTGTGCTCACTGACCTGTATAATTTGTCAGACCAATAGTGCCTTAATTTTAAAACTTCCATTCCTGTGTTCAAATTCCTCAATGCCTAACCTCATCCTATCTTTGTATGCTCCTCCATCTCTCCACCACCTTGAGGTATCTGCATCCCTAATTTTAATCCCTCCATCATTGGCAGCCATGCTTTCAGCTGCTAAGCTTTGAAATTCCCTCCATAAGCTGCTCTGTTTCCCTTGTCTCTCAAGACTTCGGTGTTTCTTTTCTTTGCAGCAAAAGCACAATTTCCAATCTGTTTTATTTTCCCTTGCCTCATTGGGAGTTCAGGCCTTTAACCAAGGGATTTTTAAGGTTTGAGTTGTGCCACTCCTTCCGTAGGTGTCATAGGACAAGAAGCTGAGGTTGCAAACGTGCTCTTGACTATTCTATCAATGGACGTTGGAATAGATTATTCGGTCGGATAGTCTTGAGATCAGCTTTTAATGTACTCCTCCTGTGCGTGCTTAATTGTTTTCTTGTCTGGTTCAATCACATGATTGAATGAAAGGAGCTCTGAGGCTGATTGCTGCCTCTAAGAGAACTTGTAAAATGGTAGAACACTCCTACCACACTCGGAGCATTCCATGTCCTTATACACGGTCTCAAATAATCCCCCTCTGCTCTTGCAACTTTTTTCTCCCCTGTTCAGTCTTTTATAATTCCCAAAACCTGCCTCTACACACCCTATTCTTACTGGAGTTGCGGTCATTTCCAAGCCTTGAGATGAGATCACAATGGGGATGAAGTTTGGGAAACACTGCTCTAACCTCTCCACATTCTCCACCCACCAGGTCACATCACGCTGGACTTTCCGCTGCCCAGGATGTCCTCAGGCTCTCTCGCATGATGACTCCCACTTCCATGAAAGACATAAGTGCATCAACTTCTTTGTGAAGGTCTACGGGTACATGCCGCTGCTCTACACCCAGTTCCGCGTGGACTCGGTCCTGTTCAAAACACGGCTGCCACACGACAAGACCAAGTGTTTCAAATTTATCTGAGGGACCTACTGAATCCCATTTGAGAGGGAAGGGACACCAAAAGTCATTCCATACCATTTTCACCATGAACACCTAACAGGAAGCAAGTTGGACATTATTTCAAAGAAAAATCACCAAATTCTCTTGCTGCATTTTACTGTTAACTAGTAATCATAGGGTTGATTTGATTCTAAATAACCTTCATCATAAAAGACTGAAGAGAGGATAATGAGCGAAGGTTTGCCATTTGGAAAGTGTAACACGATCCTATTCGAAATCCCAGAAAGATGTATGGAGGTTGTTTATTGAGCTGGGGGAGTGATTATGGATCATGGACAGAGATTGGAAGAGGTTGCTAGTCAGCTCAGAAATATTTCACCTTCATCACCCTCTTCTGAAAACTGTCCTGTTCTCAGTGCATCTCTCTCTTTGGAATTTTTTGTTCTGTTTAACACCTGGGACAGCCTTCATCAGGAATAGACTGAGGCACTATGAGGAGAGAAGGAGATGTGTAAATTGTACTATCATTTCCATCACTTCTTCTCCCAACTTGCCCCTCCCCTCCTCCCTTCCACCCCCATCCATGTCCTGGGGACATCAGTCAATCACAGGTATAGTCCATATCCTCACTGAAATGATAGTTGTGTCAGTTCACTGCCACACAGACATAACACTGTTTCTTAAAGTATTAAATATTGGGTTTTATTTACAACATTGTTTTCCTTTTAGTTCTTTTGCCATTTTGTTTATGTCTCAGGGTTCTTTTTGGAATTGCTCATTTTGTATTTTAAAATTAGCCTTTGAAAAGTGACAAGCTGATGCTTTGAGCAGTGGCTGGTGGTGGAAAACATTTGGGATTTGTCCAAAGGTACAGGCTGGCAGGGGTGTGCAATAGATCAGTCACCATCTAATAGAATGGCAGAACTTGTTGCCAAATTCCCGTTGAATCTGGGAGGTTTGGAAAGACCTGTTCTTCCCTCGTTTGTCATCAAAGCACCAGAGGGTTACAGGTTTAACATCTGGAGCAGTCAAGTTAACATCTTGCAGAGCGGAAATGAGATGTGGAGCAGATTTAATCAGATGGGACATTTGACAAAGAATGACTCCCCAGAAAACATGTTGACTTGCATTCCATGAAATCACTGCACATCCGAGCAGGGGCATTCTTGCTCTGGCTATTACTTGGACATTGATCTGTAGAAGCCTCTTTGAGGAGGAAGAGTATGGACAGTTTTGAAACCACGCTGCCTCAAAAAAGAAATCAGAGCATTTTTCCTCTGTTTAGCTGCTTGAAGAACTCGGAGCTCAGCTCATGATATCGGAAGCCTGTGGTGAGTTTATAATATTGCAATCACTTCAGGATACCCAACATCCTTGTATATATCTTTATAATAAAGGTCATTGTATCTATCGTGTAATCCTAGTGTAATGACATCTGAATTACTTAGATTCTGTGTACACACCAAGCCCCATCCCAAAAATTACTTTACAAATAGCTCCCTGGGTGTAATTGACCCCACACCCTCCCCCCAAATTCTAGAGGGTCTGTTTCCCCCCCCATATGAACTGGCTCTGATTTGTTTTAGAGTTTAGTCAAAACAAAGCAAAAGAGCTTTTAAAATCTCAGAACCCATTCCATTAATGAAGGGCTTATGAAGAAAGGTTCAACAGGATGGGGCTATGCCCATTGGAGTTTAGAAAACTGCAAGATGACTCATTGAAATACTTAAGATCCCAATGGGTCTTGATAGGGTTGAAACCAAGAGCAAATTTCCTCATGTGAGGAGATTAGAACAAGTCAGTTTGAGAATAAGATACCTCCCTTTAAGATGGGGATGAAGGTTATTTTTTCAGTCATTTGTACGTGAAATTCTCTTCCTCAGAAAGCGATGGAGGCTGGGTCATTGAATTTACTGAAGGCAGATTTGAGTGTTACAGGGGACAGATAGGAAAGTGGAGTTGAGACCACAAGCAGATCAGCTATGATCGTATTGAATGGTGGAGTAGGCTTGAAGGCTCTTAAGCCTTTCTTTCTGTATTGTTTCAAGACTTGTGTGTTTCTTGATTTCTGGCTTTTTTTGCATCATGGAATTGAAAGATGTGTCAATTACATTTTTTCTCACTCTGCGTTAGAGTTGATTATTTGCACCTTTGATAGTGAACACATCCATGACTTTTGACATATCATGTTTAACTTGAGGTTCTGTACCCTAAATGATAGCTGCTTAAATTGAAATCTTCAGAACCTCAGTATTCAGCAGTTGGATCTAGTCCAAGCCAACCATTCTGCATCATCAGACTCCAATCCCAGATTTGTAAAATTTCAAAGAAAATTTCACATCTAACTAAATTAAAACCTGATAGCAGAGTATTTAATCTGCATCATTGTGTATTCACCCAGTGCATAAATTATCAGTTGATTGCAGGAGAACAAAGTCTTGTTTAAGTGAAATTGAGAAGAGTGAGAAAGTTAAGATTGGAAAAAAACCTTGCTTGCTCTAATATCGTTGGTTGAAGGATGATTGTAAATTATTTAGATTTCTTACCAGAGCTTTGAACATGTTAACAAGTGTATAGCCCAGAACATTGACTTGTCGGTGTGCGGCATACTAAGCAAAACCAGGATTTATACAATCGACAATCCTATAAAAATGTGACATGTTTTAAAAAGGTGCTTTTTTTTGATTACACCAAATATAAGAATCACTCTTTGAAGTGGTTAATCAGTCACCAAATATTGCGTTCATCTGATTTACCACAAAATCAAAAATGCAGTTAAAATAGGGAACACACAGGAAACAGCATCTTGTCTTCCCAGTCTATCTCATAATTGTGATCCTTCATTCTCCACTGCCCACTCCAACTGGAGTTTTGTGATCTCTTTGAGGTAGGGAAAAAGAAGTTGAACTGAGGCTGATTGGGGTAAAAAGGTGGAAAATTTATTCCTGGCCCTCTTAGGCAATAGAAACTAGTCCCAGAAATCGCTCTGGCTCTGATTTATGTTACCAAATAAACCTATTGTACAAGTTGATCTGCACTTCAACGATAAATGTGTCTAACTCTTGATTGAAGGAATTCAGTCCATCTTCAGCACACAAGATTTCTATTCTAGAGGTCCACGGCCCACTGAGAAAAGAACAATTGCGTAACATTCAGTCTGGATCTGCATCTACATGATTTGTAAGTACTATCCCTGGCCCTTCCTAAAACAATCTAAATATTTTTTCTATATAAGCACACTTAGCCCCTTCATTATTTACAAAGCTTCATCAGAGACCGCCTATATAAAGCAAGCCTTGAACACACATTGATCTGAATCAGTAAGAGGTTGTTGCCAAGTGATGGATTCTGGTGAACATTTCTTTTCACCCCTTATTTCCAGTTCCAGCTGAAACTTATTGTTGCTGTAAGGATGGATTTGCCACCCTAGCGATCAGCAGTATAATAAGCAACCAGTTGTTATAGCCTGAGCCTGGCAGAATCTGAGGTGAACAACAACACCCTCTTCCACCCTCCATCACTTATGTCCTTTGGAGAAGGACATTCTTACATGGTCTGACCTACATGTGACTCCAGTGGTTGACTTTTAACTGCCCTGTGGGCATTTAGGGAAGGGCAATAAATGCTGGTCCAGCTGTGAAGCCCAAATCCTGTGATTGAATAAAGAAAAATTAACCAGTTTAAAGTTCATGCGGAACTTCATCTCTACTTTCACATGGATAGTATCCTGTGTGGCGGTATATGGTACTGTGCTGCTTGAGATAGACTTCCAATAGATTGAACACTTCACAACTTGGGATCGATGAGGTGCTGAGAGCTGTCAGCAGCAGAATTGTAACCTCATGGCTCAACGAATCCCATGTCCTGCCATTACCAATGAGCCAGGGGCTCAGTCTGGGTTCAATGAAGAGTGCAGAAGGGAGCAGCACCAGGCATACCTAAAAATGAGCTGTCAACCTGGTTAAGCTATAAAACAGGATAACTTGTATGGCATTGTAAGTAGCCAGTGATAGACAGGGCTGAGCAGTTCCATAACCAATAGATCAGATTTAATATCTTGATTCATGTGACATTTAGTCAAATGGTGGAGGACAATTAAACAATTCACTGGAGGAGGAGGAGATTCTGCAAACATCCCTATCCTCAATGATGAAAAATCCCAGCAAAAGATAAGTATTCACAATGAGCTTCAGCCAGAAATGCCAAGTGGATGATTCATAGAAGATAGGAGCAGGAGGAGGCCATTCAGCCCTTTTCACTGCTCTGTCATTCTTCAGATCATGACTGATCATCCAACTCAATAGCCTAATCCTGCTTTCTCTCCATAACTTTGATCCCATTTGCCCCAAGTGCTATATCTTGTCACCTCTTGAATACATTCAATGTTTTGGCATCATCATCTTCCTGTGGTAATGAATTCCACAGGTTCCCACTTTCTGAGTGAAGAAATGTCTCCTTATCTCCATCCTAAAGAGTCTATCCCGAATCCTCATACTATGACCTCTGGACACAACCACCATCGGGAATATCCTCCCTGCATCTACCCTGTCCAGTCCTGTTAGAATTTTAAAAGTCTCTGAGATCTCCCCTCATTCATCTGAACTCCAGTGAAAACAATCCCAACTTAGTCAATCTCTGCTCATACGCAAGACCCGCTATCCCTGGAATCAACCTGGTAAACCTTCGCTGCACTCCCCTCGAGAGCAAGAGCATCCTTTCTCAGAAAAGGAGACCAAAACTGCACACACTATTCCAGGTGTGGTCTCACCAAGGCCCTGTATAACTCCAACAACACATCCCTGCTCTTGTACTTGAAACCTCTCGCAATGAAGGCCAGCATACCATTTGCCTTCTTTACCGCCTGCTGCACCTACATGCTTACCTTCAGCGACTGGTGCACAAGGATACCCAGGTCCCCGCTGCACGTTCCCCTCTCCCAATTTACAGCCATTCAGATAGTAATCTACCTGCTTGTTTTTGCTTTCAAAGCGAATAACCTCACATTGATCCAAATTATACTGCATCTACCATTGATTTGCCCACTCACCCAACCTGTCGAGATGATGCTGAAGGATCTCTATATCCTCATCACAGTTCACCCTCCCACCCAACTTGGTATTATCTGCAAACTTGGAGATGTTATGCTTTGTTTCCTCATCCAAATTAATATATATTGTGAAAAGCTGGGATCCCAGCACTGATCCCTGTAGCACCCCATTAATTACCCCATCAATTTGAAAATGACCCATTAATTCCTACTCTTTGTTTCGTCTCTGCCAATGAGTTTCCTCATCCATCTCAATGCATTTTAATCTTACACGTTAATCTCTTTTATGTGGGACTTCTGTCAAACAAATTCCAAATATACTACGTCGACTGGCTCCCCGGGTCAACTGTACTAGTTACATCTTCAGAATTTCAACAGATTTGTCAAGCGTGATTTCCCCTTCAGAAATCCACGCTGACTCTGTCTGATCCTGCATTCCTTTCTAAATGCTCTGCTATAAAATCCTTGACGATGGATTCAAGAATTTTCCCACTACCGTTGTTAGGCTCACCAGTCCAAATTTCCCTGTTTTCTCTTTACCTCTCTTATTGAACATTGGAGTGACATTAGCCACCCTCCAGTCTACAGAATCCTGGAAGATGACCACCAATGCATCCATTATTTCTAGAGCTACTTCCTTAAGTACTCATCTCAGCCTGCTCCAGTGATCCCCCAGCATCACAGTTGCCAGTCTTCAGCCAATTCAGTTCACTCCAGAGTGATATCAAGGAACTGCTGGAGGCACTTCAATGGCTATGGGCCCTGACATCTTTCTGGCAATAAGACTGGAGACTTGCACTCCAGATCTTGTCGCACCTCAAACCTATTCCAGTACAATTACACTGGCATATAACCAACAATGTGGAAAATTACCTAGGTACACAAAGTAGGACAAATCCAACCTGGCCAATTACTGCCCCAACCAGATAAAAGAAAGATTCCACGTGGATGCTGGAAATCTGAAAGGAAAAGAAAATGCTGGAGAAACTCAGCAAGTCTGGCAGCATCTGTAGAGACAAACAGTTGACATTGAATTTGATATTAAAAACGGTCACATTGGAATCAAAACATTTAACACAATTTCTCTCTTCTTAGATCTGCTGAGTCTGTCCAGCATGTTGTCTTTATTTATTACCACCCCATCATTCTTCCCTATTCATCAGTACAGTGACGGAAAGTGTAAGCAACAACGCTATCAAGCAGCACTTCGCAATAACCTTTTCACAGATACCTAATTTAAGTTCTTTCAGAGACACTTGGCTCCTACCTTTGTTTACATATGGATAAAAGAGCTGAATTCCAGAGGTGAGTGAGAGTGACTCCTTGAAATCAAGGCTGCATTTCACAAAGTGTGACATCAAGGAGCAAAAT